CATCATCCAGGGTACCTCACAAGTCAGTGCCGACTGTATTCCCTATACCTCTCCCACCCGAGGATTCTGATAAGGATTTTGATACAGTTTTATGGGTTTGTCTAGAGACGTGTTAGAACCTCTTCCTACAATTAATAGGGCTTTTACCCACTATGGTTTATAGGATTTCTCTGCTACAGACTTAAAGGGCTTTGTTTCCTACATATTTATAGGGCTTCTAATCCAGCAGTTTTTCTCTACGGCTTATAAGTGGTTCCCACCCACAATCTCATAGGCTTCTCTTTGCTGATGCAAATGCACTATTTCTTCCCAGGGTTCTTGACCCTCCACTTTTCTATGATCTGATGAGGTCGGCCCCCTTTCCCCACAATTTCTCAGAAGAGAGAGAGGACCCTGGTCTCCAAACCTACTTCACAGGGAGACACCTGGGTGACAGCTCCTATGCAGGAGGAGAGCTGCAACTTCTGTGAAGCCGTCTCCACACTCAGGGCACAGATAAGGCTTTTCCTCTGAGAGAGTTTTACGACTTTCCTCTTGCCTGTGGCTGCTGCTCTTTGGGGGGGTAGAGGCCTCTCCCTCATCTTCCTGGTTTGTGGACAAGGTAGCTGGCTCTGAAGGGGGGTCCTCAGGAGTGGGGGCCCTTTCTTGAGTGTGGGTTTCCTGGTGGCGGGTAAGAGCTAGTCGATCGAGGAAGGAGGCCCCACAATCAGAACAGCTGTAGGGTCTGGCCCCCAAGGGGCTCCTGAGGTGCTCCAGCAGCACTGAGGAGCTCTTCCCCAGCTCCGAGCTCTTCTGGGACTTGCCACCCGCATGGACTTTCTGGTGCTGCAGCAGCTCAGAGCTCAGGCCAAAGCTTTTTTTGCATTCTGGGCATTTAAAGGGCTTTCCACTTAGGAAGGGACTGGGCTCTGCCCCTTCCCCAAGGCCAGTCCTACACTCGGGAAAGAGAAAGGGCTTTTCATTGCCGTGGGTGAGCTGATGTTGCAGGAGCACGGCCCTGTCTAGGAAGCTTTCTCCACAGTGGGAACAGACATAGCACTTGGAGGACAGTGGACCCAGCCTTTGGCTGAAGCCCTCCTGACCCTCTGGCACTTTCAAGGACTGTCCTGAGGGGTCAGCTCTGCCCTCCGAAGCACCTGGGTGTGAATTGCCTCCAAAGGGGAACCTGGGGGGGCGGAACTGCAGAGGCTTGGGGGCCGGGTGTGCTATGAGACCGTCTGCATTTTTGTAGGGGTTTTCTCCAATATGAACCCGCTGGTGCTGCATGAAGATGCCCTCATCATTGAAGCCCTTCCCACAGACCAGACACTTGTGGGGTTTGGCTCCTGGTGGCGGGGTCAGCAGGGCAGGATCCCCAAGCCCTAGCAAGCTGTCACTCTGAGCTCTCCGGGCAGGCGTCTTGCCTCTCTCATGGATCACGCGGTGCTGCTCCAGCTCCTGAGCCTCCAGGAAGGCCTTGCCGCAGTCGGAGCACACGAAGAGGTTCTCGTCCATGTGTGTGCGGACGTGCGTGATGAGGTTCGAGCTCTGGCTGAAGCTCTTGCCGCACTCGGGACACTTGTAGGGCTTCTCGCCCGTGTGCGTGCGGCGGTGTTGGATGAGGTGTGAGCTGCGAATGAAGCTCTTGCCACAGTCAGAGCACTTATAGGGCTTCTCGCCGGTGTGGATCCGCTGATGGCGGATGAGCGTGGAGCTCATGATGAAGCTTTTGCCGCAGTCGGCGCAGATGTACGGCCGCTCCCCACGGTGGATGCGCTGGTGGTTGATGAGGTTGGAGCTGACGCTGAAGCTCTTGCCGCACTCGGGGCACTTGTAGGGCCGCTCACCTGTGTGTGTGCGCTGATGGCGCAGCAGCGTGGCACTCAGCGTGAAGGTCTTGCCACAGACGGGGCACTTGAAGGGGTCCTCCCGGAGGTGCGTCCGCTGGTGCTTGATGAGCGTGGAGCTGTGGCCAAAGCTCTTGCCACACTCCAGGCACTCATAGGGCTTCTCCCCAGTGTGAGTGCGCTGGTGCTGCGTCAGCTCTGAGCTCTGGATGAAGCTCTTGCCGCACTCGGTGCAGCGATATGGCTTCTCCCCTGCATGGATCTTCTGGTGCTTGAGCAGGTTGTGGTTCTGACCAAAGCGCTTGCCACACTCGGGGCACTTGTAGGGCTTTTCGCCTGTGTGTGTGGCCTGGTGCTGGATGAGGTCCGAGCTGCGGTAGAAAGCACGCCGGCACTCACCACACTTGTAGGGCTTCTCGCCAGTGTGCGACCGCTGGTGTTTGATGAGGTTGGTGCTTTGTGTGAAGGCTTTCTCGCACTCCGTGCACTTGTAGGGTTTCTCCCCCGTGTGTGTGCGCTGGTGCTGGACCAGATTGGAGCTCCAGCTGAAGCACTTGCCGCAGTCGGGGCACTTGTAGGGCTTCTCCCCCGTGTGTGTGCGCTGGTGCTGCACTAGGTGCGAGCTCTGCGTGAAGCTCTTGCCACACTCGGAGCATGTGTTGGGCCGCTCCCCGGTGTGGATGCGCTGGTGCCGGAGCAGTTTGGACCACTGGCTAAAGCTCTTGCCACACTCATTACAGATGTATGGCTTCTCAGCCCCAGAAGGGCGGCCCTGCACCAGCTCCCGCAGGCTGGGTTCACTGGCAGTGACTACTGGGGTGCTGTTCCAGGTGGTCAGGGTTCCCCACTGCCAATTGGTCTCACAGGCCTTGGTCCACTCAGATGGGGAAGGGACTACCTCAGAGGCTGATGGGTCCATAGGGGTCTGGTGGTCTAAGGGGTTGGAAGAACCCAGTGGGGCTGGGGAATCCTGAGGGGCTGAGGCATCCTGGGAGGGGCTCTCCAGGGGCATCTCTGGTGGGTCCTTGGATTCTGGACTCTGAGCTGGATCTCCCAAGATGATCTCCTCCCCAGAACTTTCCTGATGAGGGCTCTCCTCTTCATTCCCACTTTCAGCACCTACAGACAGAAAGGGGGTCTCCAGCCCTCATCTTCTTTCAGAACATGGGATCTGGTCTCTCTTCCCTCCCCTGTGATTGCCCAGAGTTTGGGCCCCTCCCTGAGCCAGGGCCACTGTCTCATCAGAGCCACAGTCCCTTGTGCCCCTCACCTCGGTGAGCATTGTTCCGGATCTCTTCAGGACCCTGCAGATCTGGGCCCCACAGCACTGTCTCCGGCTCCATCCCAGAGCTCCCGACTGCGAAGGTTCCAGGGACTCTGGTGGGGAGAGATGGGCACACAATTCCACTTGGTTTTGTGCTTCTCTTTGTGCGTCCACTGATGTGACTCTCAGTGGCCTGCTGCTCTTTTTTCTGGCACCATCTCTCCCTGAGCCCCGTGGCCCCAGAGGCCTGGTTCCAAACACTGTAGATCTTAAGATCGCAATGAAGCAACCCAGTAAATGGAAAGAGTCGTCAATTAAAAACTCGTCAGTCATAACCCTTTGTACCTAGATTGAAGGCTGGAGCGCTATCCAACATTCACAGGGGAGGCAGACTTTCACCCCACACATCCCATGCCCAGAGGCCTGGAAATGTGTTATTTTGCAAATCAGACAAAGCTCATTAAGACTCCAATTTTCTTCCTTTATGGGACTGCTAATTGAGACCAATAAACTTTTCCTTTATGAGCCCCAGAGAGAACTGAGACTGAGAGTTTTTAAAGGGTTAAAAAAAAAGTTTCCCTGAAGGGACCGAGACTCACAGGACCGGAGCACTTTGTCACCATCTAAGCACAGAAAGGGGGTCAGCCTCGGGGTGGGAAGGTGAGGTCTGAAGTCGGGGGCTCCTACAGAAGACTTGGGAAAGGGAAAGGGAGAGGAAAAGGGATGCCTGGCTTGGTGGCATGCTTGGGGGAAACAGGAAGATCAGAAGTTCAAGGTCAGTCTCAGCTACATGAGATCTTGTCTCAAACAAAAATGAAGGAGAAGGGGAAGGAAGGAGGAAAGGTGGCGGGCTGGTGAGCAAGTATCCACCGGGAGGGCACGGTGACTATCAGGGGTCGCTCTTTCTCTCACTGCCTTGCCTTGGGAGACTCAGCAATCATTTGTCCATTTTAGAGATTAATACAGCAACACTGGGGGAGATAACTCCACGGCCCCAACCTGGAAAATAACAGAGCTAAGACCACAAATGCAGTGCTCTGTGTCTGGCTTGCCCCTATGCCCGAAAGCACCGAGTGACCTTGACAGTCACATGAAACTCAAACTTGTGGGCTACTGGCAGGAGAATGAGGAGTAAGGCTCAGAATGAGCCCTGACTGTGAGAATGGGCTGGAGAAATTCCGGGGAGGAGCTGGATCCAGTGATGAGGTGGGAGAAAATGGGTCTCTTGAGCTCTAGGTAATGCTGTCCTCAAAGTCATCCATTACCAGACCCGCCCGGGGACCCAACCTTCTGCCCCGTTCTATTGGTCGATGCTTTTTATCACATGCCTAGGACAGGTGACCAGTAAAAACTTCGCTGGATGACTGAATGAACTAGACATAGACACCCCTTGCTCCCGGAAAACCTATTTGGTTCAATGTCTTTGATGATCTCGGTTTGCAAAGGGACGTCCGAAAAGGAAAGCAAGTTCAGAGTGAGCCCCCTGGGGCTCAAAATCAGGGATGCTTCCCAGGAGAGAGAACAGGGCCACAGGAGCAAACTGCAGGAGGGCGCTCACATTTACACATGTAACAGATCCCTGGCCTAGACTTGGGGTGACAGTGTGGATAGGTACTTTGTGCACAAAAGCTCTCCAGGAGGCAGCTGGTAGGTGAAGCCATTGAAGCAACAGACAGCTAGCTGACCAGTGCAAAGGAGCAGCAGCAGAAACAGAAGTTGATGGAAGAAAATGAATTTCATCTCCACAGTCTCCCCCGACCTGCGTCTTTAGGGGAGACGGAGACCACTGGAGGCGCCTCCCCGGATGGGGGAAAGGCACTCTGCTGAGCAGACCGAGGACAGGTAGGAGCTCGGGTACTTGGACTGAGTGAGAAACTTCAACTCCGGGGCCTACCTTAGATGGGAAAGGGTTAATGACAAGGCCACAGGCAAGAAGTAGCGAAGACAGGGAGGCGAGAAGTACTGGGAAGCAGCCCAGGCCGGGCAGCGCCAGCCTCCGGCCGCGGCGGGCCCCCGGAGGGCCGAGGCGGGAAGGACGGCCCGGGGCGGCTGCCTTCCCGCGGAGGTGCGCGCGGCCCAGGGTGACCCTGACAAGGAGGCGGCGGGACCGCCCTCGACGCCGCCCCCCGCACCCAGGCGGACCCGGGCTCCAGCGCTCCCGGCCCGCAGCGCCGACCCCGTTCCCGGCTCCGAAAGGCCGGCCGAGCCGCCAGCGTCCCCTCCCCGCCGCGGACGCCCAGGCTCCCCGGGCCCCGGCGAGCGGCGGCCGCCTCGCCGCCCCCGGCCGGACCCGCTCTCCCGGCGCGCGCGCCTCCCCTCCCCCACGGCGGCCCTCGCGCGGTTCCCACAATCCCCCGGCCGCCGCCCCCGCCGCCCCGGGCCCGGCCTGCGCCCCGCACCCGTCGCCGCCGCCTTGGCCCTATTGTTCCCCGGCGGCTGTCCCGGGCCTCCAGGCCACCCCGGGAACCCAGGCGGCCCCGACTCACGGCTGGGGGGGGGGGGTCTGGGAAAAGCCGGAAGACAGAGGCCAGCCCCAGGGGACTTAACCCCTGAAGTGCCCTGCCTCGGGGGACGGGCTGGATGCCGAGAACGCCAGGGTCCTTCTCCAGGGGTGATTCCAGGCTGAGGACCCGGGGACCAGTTCAGGGTGACTGGGACGGAGCAGGAAGTGACCCCAGCTTCCCGGGCCCCTCTAGCCTGGAGTCAGAACATCAGCTCTATGGGATTTAACCCTTTGCCTCCCGCAGCATGGGAAAAGAATGGGGAGGGGAGTGCGGGAGCAACGAGGCGGCTGATGACGCCCCTCTCCCGGGGTCTAGCGGGGTCGCGCAAGATCAGCTTTTGGGGGAGCTCAGAGGCCGGCGAGGGTCTCTGGATTTCTGGCCGTGCTCTCTCTCTAACGGCTCGGCCAGCCGCCCAGTTAAGCTGATCGCAGATTCGGCCGCGGTGGGTCCCCTGAGACCGGCCTTTGTTTGGACTCACCCTGGGAGGGGGCTGGTATGCCTGAGCTAGTGACTAGGAGTGGGAGCAAAGGTTAGGTGGTCCAGACCCGGTCCAGCATAAGAGCAGAAGCTGAAAGGCCAGGCAAGACTAGCCTGGGCTACGTGGCCCCGCCCCCCACCCCCTTTGTCCAACTACCCCCCTAGTCCTGCCATCCCCCCCCCCACCTCCTCCCGTCCTGTCTCCTTAGAGGAGGAAACTGAGACCCTGGGTGGCAGCAGAAAAGCCAGTGTAGGGTCCCTGGCAACGGTGGGCAAGCATTATTCCCTGCATCCCAGGGTAAGGTATCCAATTCACAGCAGGACAATCCTTCCAAAAACCTAGGAAGCCAGAAGTTGTGATGAATGCCTGTAATTCTATTGCTCTGGAGGCAGAAGCAGGAGGATCAGCAAATTCAAAGTCCGCCTGGTACACATAGTTCCAGGCCAGTCAGGGCTACATAGTGAAACCCTGTTTCAAAACAACACAACGACCTCCCAGGACCCAGGTAACTGGATTCCCAAAATTTTCCACCTTGTGTCTCATTTTCTCCTCACCACAATCCTGAGAGAGAACTCTGAATCATCCGTTTTACAGAGAAGGCGATCAAGACATGAGGTGTGAGGGAGAATGTGTAAGTCCACATTTTTAAGTGAACTCAGGAGCGAGGAGACCCGAGTGGAACAGGAGTTGAGCTTTCTACCCTCAAAAAGTTTAACAGTAGTCAGGCTTGGTGACACATACCTGTAATCCTCAACCATTAGCAGGCTGAAGCAGGAGAATCAAGAGCTGGGGTTCAAGGTCAGCCTGGGCTACACAACAGGACCATAAACTAAATAAAAAAGTTCCAGGCCCTGTGTGGGAGTGCATAGCTGTGATGCTAGCATTCTGAGGCTGAGACAGGAGGATCACCGTAAATTTAAGGCCAACCTAGGCTACATAGTGAGAGCCCTATGTTGGAATACCAATAAATAAATACTGACTTATGATAGTGAATAACATGTTCAAGTTTTTTTTCCTTTGTTTTTCGAGACAGGGTTTCTCTGTGTAGCCCTGGCTGTCCTGGATCTCACTCTGTAGACCAGGCTGGCCTCGAACTCACAGAGATCCACCTGCCTCTGCCTCCCAAGTGCTGGGATTAAAGGTGAGTGCCACCACTGCCTGACTAACATGTTCAAAATTTAAAGACTGCTCTACTTAAAGAATCCATGAGAAAATTGCTTCAGTTTATAAGCTGCTAGTTTGGGAAATGTACCCCCTGTCAGCAATCTTGCCCAAGATAGATGACTTCCCAGACTAGTTGAGCTAATATTGAGAAACTGCCTCTATTGTTCTTGCAAGACAATGGGTCCTGGTAGCTAACTGCTAGCTTTGGTGTTAAAAACTGCTTTGCTTGCTGGAGAACCAAGACACCTTCGGGATGTCCGTTATAAAATTAGGCACTGCTTACACAAAGGCAGGATGTGAGCTTATGCCCTAACCCTGACTCCCCTGCCCGAGAAAAAACACTGTAACTGTGTGTGTGTGTGTTTCCTTTATAAACTGTACTAACATCGGATTCAGACCATAGGCAGAAAATTCCAAGTCTCTGCTGTGGTCCTGGCCAGTAATTTTTAATAAAGCCTCTTATTTATTAAAAAAAAAAAAAAACAGCCGAGTATGAGGGTGAACACCTTTAATCCCAGCACTCGGGAGGCAGAAGCAGGTGGATCTCTGTGAGTTCAAGGCTACCCTGATGTACAAATCGAGTTCCAGGACAGCTAGGGCTGTTACACGAGAAACTCTGTCTTAAAAAACAAAAACAACAAAAAACCCACAACAACAAAACACTAATAGTCAGACTGGTGAATCTCTGAAAGACCCCAGACCCATAACAGACGTGTGTGTGTGTGTGTGTGTGTGTATGGTGTACACACATGTGCGCAATGCATAAAGAAATCATAAGAGAATGTGGAAAGAAGCATCAGACCAGGGTGGTAATAGGAGAGCTGAGTATCTAACAACCCAAGTGTCAGAAATGGCAAAGGGATGCAGTTCTCTTGGTATCTAGGGTTTAGATGTGGCTTCAGGCTTCCCAGCGCCAGCTCCCTTAACTCACTTTTCCACCGGGCACTTCTCTAGCTTGTCTCTGGTTCTAGTCTCCTTAACTCCTCCCACACAATCAGACCTTTGCTCACCTTGGTTCCCGACCTCCCCTGTCCCTCATATCCTGTGACAGGGAACTCAAACATTCTTTTTACCTGTCACTCTACATACATGCTATTGTCAGCTTTACTTGGGCAGGGCTTTGCCTTTGTGTTTACTGCTGTGTCCCCAGGGCCCACAACTTTTGTAGCGTGTGCTCAATTTGTTGAACAGACTGCAAAAGCTGGGCCCAGCCCTGGGGCGGGGAGAAACCCGAGAGCTGCTGGCTGGAGGTGCAGGGAAGAGGTTAATTAGTCCAGCAGAAGCTTTGTTTGTTTGCTTTCTGTTTTAGCTAGGTTAATTGCTACATTTAATAATCAGTACATAAAAGCCACATGTAGTGTTTGCACCTGTAGTCTCAGCCAAATTGGGAAACTGAGGCAGGACGACCACTTGAGTCTAGAAGTTTGAGACCAGTTTGGACAACACAGTTAGACAATCTCACAAGGTTCACATCTGAATTCCCTGCTTCTCTGGAAAATCCAAAGACGTAACGGAGTGAAAGCGAGGACATGCCCACTCCAAGTTATGGTTGAGGAGAAGGATTTTATTGTAGATACGAGGGAGGGTACAGCCAGAGGCAGCACAGAGAGTCCAGAGCAGAGAAAGAAAGAAGTAGACTAAATATGGCCAGTAGACTGAACCAGGTCATGATGGATAAGAGCGGGGTGGAGAGAGAGAGAGAGAGAGAGAGAGAGAGAGAGAGAGAGAGAGAGAGAGACAAGATCACAGAGATTCAAGAGGGCAGAGAGAGCATGTGGCCGAAATGCAGGGTTGTAGAGGAAAGAGAAGCCAGGGGAAGGGAGGCCCTTCCTTGCCCGGGAAGGTGGAGGGTAGGAGGTGGGTGAGAAGAGCAGCCAGGGCCACAGGGGCTGAGTGAGCCTGGCAGCCAGTGTGCTCTTTGGTATGCTGCCAGGCACCTCAGCCTTTTGTCCTGGGTTTCTTTGGGGCCTGACAATAAGAATATATTCAATATGCTCACTTGTCACAAACTGGCTGTAGTCAGGCAGAAGCTTCCTTCCTCAGGTGTCCCAGCGCCACTCCTGTGTCCTCGGCTCTCAAGCTGAGAGACAGTTTCAGTCATAAACGCCCTCCCTATTGACTTAACTATAGAGGTGGCTTCTTTCATCCCTTTGTCTATGTTCCCTACGTTCAGAGTAAGAAATACAAGGGGTGTGAATTGGCATCTTCTGACACATCATGTTTTATTTATTTAGGCTTCTGAAATAGGATTTCACTGTGTAGACCAGGCTGGCCTCAAAATCACGGAGACCCACCTGCCTCTGCCTGCCAAGTGCTGGGATTAAAGGCGCTCGCCACTGCCTGGTCCCATTTACATTTGCTGAGTACTCAGTGTGTGTTGACATTCTTTCCAGTGTTTGCACAGTGGCTTCTTGGACCTCCCCAACATATGATGCCAACCTTATCATCATACTGACGAGAAAGTCACTGACACACAGTGCAGTTAGACTGAAACCCAGGTGCCACCGTGGCTCTTAACCATTATTCTTGGATAAATTCAAGTGTATCTGAACACAGAGGCCTAATGGCCCCTCCGTTCTCTCCTACTCTAGAAGTCAGAGCAAGGCACTAGAGAGGGCAGGAAAACTCCATCAGGTCAAACCTTTCTCCAAGGATAGTGAGGAATGGGTGGTCCTACCCCTAGGGAAGCAGGGGATGCTCTGGTCATATGCAAAACTGGGGTTGTCTTCTTGCCAGTGGGCAGCTGGAATGGTATTCATGTGAATGAGTGGCTGGGGAACTTTGGGAAGGATAAAGGGGACCCTTCCCTAGGCCTTTTACGGACAAACCACTGGCCGTATTTCAGAAATGATTTACCATCCTCCCACAGGGGATGGTAAACACTGACCTCACACCCCAAGAGCAAGGTTGCTGTGAGGGCACAGAGGTACTGGACTGAACCTGGTCCATGTCCTGTGCCCCCAGGCCACAGATACTGCTGCCTGTTCTCCCATGGGAGGATGAGCCTTAGTAGTCAGGGGGTATGCAGCCCAATGAGATAGTGCTCCTCTGAGCATGTGGCAAGAATTAGTTTCCTTTCCCAGAAGAGGGCATCAGTTAACATTATGCAGTTAGAGGTCACAACCCTTGGCCCGTGGGCAGGAGAGCAGGGAGCCTCAAAACCATGTCTGGAGGACTTGGGGGCCTACAATCATATGCTCAAGCCCTCTGCTCCACAGAAGCAGCACCATAGAGGGCAGGATGGAAAGGCCAAGAGTTCAAGCTGAAGGAGACTCATGCCATTAGCCCCAAGATTGCTGCCTCATTGCAAGTGAGTGGTTTCCTGGGGTCCTCACCAGGGAAGGGTGGAGCCTCCCTTCCTGGAGATGTGCGTGCTCAATGAGGTGCGCAAGGGGCTTCTTTTCAGTGTATGAGGCTCAAATAAAGGAGCTTCTATGCCCAAGGAAGGTCTTCCAGAACCAAGCACTTTTAAAAAT